AGGGGGGTGGAGGTGGGGAGGGGACAGGAGGAGGTGGTGATGGCGGTGCCGGTGTCGGGCAGTTCCCCGGGTCTTAGAGCCTCAACCCCTCCGGCCCGACCTCGACGACCTGATCCAACCCCTCATACGGCGGGACGTCAAAATCATACTTCTTCGCGATCGCCGGCGCGACAAACCTGGCCCCCACAACTATCAGCACGAGCAACAGAGACAAGGAACCAGGCGCGGGATACCACCACCAGCAGCAGCAGGTACGTACCGTCCTCCGATAAAATGGTGGCCCCTAAAGTGCCTGACCAGAGGCTTCGGCGCAGTCAGGCTGACCAGGACAGCAGGGTGGAAGTTGCTGCCGACCCCGGACGCGGGCGGGCCGGCCTCGATATCCCACGACGACGGCGCGTCGATGGCCGTGACCGGGACCTTGGTCTCGGCCATGGCCTGGATGACGGCCGGGAACGGCTCGCGGACCTCGCCCGAGAAGGAGAAGCCTGGTGTGCGGTTAGGATTGCTGAGAGATTCAACGCCGAGAAGGGATAAAGGGCATGTGGAAGGGGGCTGGGGGTAGCAAAGGGGTCACCAACCGAATATGGCGTCGATGACATGGTCGGCCGACTTCAGGGCCGTTGGGAAGTCATCAACAAAGGGGACCTCGAGGTCTTCCAGCTGCTTGGTGAGTCGCTACAAACATGAATTAGCGATTTGTCACAAAGAATAGAGCCAACCGGCGTCGACATCTGATGAAATACATTAGAGCAAAAGAGAGGACTTTCCAACCCAAGACAAGCAGTCCACCAGGGGCGATCCCCAGGATGGACCCTGGAGAGAGCACCACCACACATGACAGCAGACAGGCGAGAGAGGAGAGAGTGTTCACAGCCTACCTGATAAAGATCATTTTTGGGCCGCTTCGGGTAGTAGACAGTCGGGTGATAGCCGTAATGGCGCAGATGGCGAGCGGCCACGAGACCATCGCCCCCTGAAAGCCACCAGTTAGCGCACTGACCACGACCGGCCAAAGTAAACAAAGCCAACAAGGCAAAGTAAGCTCACCATTGTTGCCGGGCCCGACAGCAACCAGGACTCTTTTGCCCTTGTGAAGAGGATGAACTCGGTATACTGTTTTCTGTTGTCAATGATCACAAAGAGTTGCTTCCCCCAGGGCAAGGAGTGCCGCGGGATGGTGCACCGACCAACTTGGGAGACCGACAGCCCAGCAAGCTCCATCAGTTGGTCAATGGAGAAGGCGCCGCTGCTCATCAGTTCCTTGTCCAGCGCCGCAGCGGCCTTTGCAGAGAGAGTCTATGGCACATCATCAGTCTCGCTTTGTGACGAAGTATCTCCCCGTTTTTTCTCTCCCGCAAAGGTGCCAGGTAGAAACAACGGCAAGGGGATCTTGAGAGCAACAGCTTCCATCTGTGAGAGACCCATACCTTGAGTGCCATCATGGGAAAACTGTGTGGGTCCCGAGGTTGGTGCCGTCGAGATATTTCGGAATATCTTTTCGTCTGGACCAGAGCAAGCAAATCTCTGGGATCGAAGAAGCAAGATCAGGCAATAGCTTCGAGTTTTCGATCCGATTTCCAGAACCGCCAACGCAAGCAGAAACGAGGTGGTTGCGAACAGAAGGCGAGAGTGACTGACTGACCTCACCAGGCCAGGACCCATGGGGCCTTTGAGATGCACATGATTGGCGCATCTGATTGGCCCAATCCCAGGCGCACCCATCAAGGGCAGGGGCCAAAAATTCGAGCCGATGGTCTGTGCTTGCATCGAATTGGCGTTGCGGACCTCAACACCATCGCCAGCTCGAGGCAGGCCACAGCAGACAATCAGCACCACCCTTCGCGACGCTCCCGCCAGCCCCGACCGAACATGGTGGTCAAGATCCGACTTGCGCGCTTCGGCCGCACAAATGCCCCCTTCTACAACATCGTCGTCGCCCACGCCCGGTATGCCGCCCCCTCTCTGACGCCATGATTCCGCCCCTCCTCATGTCAACCCCCCCGATACCCTCGACGT